CACACAAACCAATTCCTTAAAATAATCTGATGTGTTTTTAATTGATACTAAATTCCATCACAAAACTCACTGCCGTGGAATCCGTTCTGACTCATGGTTTACCCTACAGGGGAGAGCAGAACTGAGTTGCTGATGCTGTCCCTCTTACAGGTATAGGAAACTTCATCTTTCTCCTGAGGTGTGGCTAGTGATTTCGAACTGGTGACCTCAGAGCTAGTGGCCCAGAACATAACTTTACAATTTTTTGTTTGGTTTCTCATTAAAAAATGAAATTTGTTTATATCATTATGTAAAGATCTTAAGATAAATCGTTGTCTGGATGTGCCATTCTCTTTTCAAATCATTCATAGCCAAAGATTAAAGGAGTGTTGATGATAATTTCTCCTGGGCCCAGAGTTTTAGAGTATTCCAGAGTTTTTAGTCCTTGGGCCACGGTGACATTTTAGGGTCGAAGTCAGTCCAACATGGTTGTATAATACAATAGACACAATTGATCTCACTCTGTTGTCTATCTGAAAATTGTTATATTGGCAAAGGTCCTCTATCTGCATTTCTACAACCATCATAAAATAAAATTCACATTGTCTTATACCACCTTCTCAAATTGGGATTTAGTTTTGAAATGTTTAATTCTAGATAAAGAAAATTCAAGTGATGCTGTGATTGGGAGTTGAATAGTAGGACCCACATACTGGAAAAGGCCTACTGTGTTCCATCCCCGGCAGCTGACCAAACCACTAGCATTGCTAAGAGAGGACTCCCAGGACGTTGTGGCATTTTAACACGTTGAAGAAATATTGGTCACATGCACCCTCAGCACTGAGATCAGAAATTCCATTTCAATCTACTTTGAAAAGAAATCCATTAGTTAACATTTAGCCAGACAAAGTAATAAAATCACCACTACCTTTGCAACAATTATTATATTTGCAAGTAAAGTTTTGTCACACATACAACATGGAATTTATTAGAGTGCTTTTTATTTTTTTAACATAAAAAGTAATCCAGAAAGCCCGGAAACACTAGAAGATTATAGTAGTATGAAGAATGCGAAGTGTGGCCTCATAGTTCTGCATATGAGTAGACCTATTTGTACGTTGTGTTGTCATAAGGAGTGTCTAAAATTTTTAAATGAGTGCCTGTAAACGAGAGCCCCACCAGTCCTACTGCCTTACACTTGGTCTTCGGCAGTCTCTGCTACATGTTTGCACTTTGACGTGTTAGTTTATGACTCAGGGCTCTCACCTGCTACAGGTATAAAGTTCCAAGTTCTAAGTGTCTTCAGCTAACATGCATGTTTAGTATAACAGGAAGATCCTGGGAGATGGAAGAAAAATTCTAACCTGACCTCTGCCATTCCTCTTAGTACTTTGGAAGTTTAAGTTAACTTCCATAGGCTTCAGTTTCTCATCTATAAAATGAGATGTTGATTCTAGATGGTTTCTAAAGTTCCTTCCAGGGCAAATATTGGGTAAGGCAGCATTGCCATTGGGTTTATTTTTTTCCCAGAGATTATAATACAGATAAATTACTAGATTTTGAGATGAACGTACCATAAAATATTTACAAATATATTCATATTAGTTATAGCATAAAATTAGTTGGCATAAAAATTAGCTAGATACGTAGCAGTCAGCACCTGGTAGGGAAATTTACCTCTGGCCCTTTTCTCCATGGACATGATTGCAACGTAGCTTTTAGTATAAGCACAGACAAGGGACTTTTCATCCTTGAACTAGTAAGTTCCTGTGTGGTAACTAATAAATATTAATATTTTAGTATAGAAGCCTTATTTTATGGGTGAAAGTTTATATATTTCATAACTCATTCTTCATTCTATTTATAATGAAGTTCTTAGCACAAGGCATATGACTTGTAAATTTATGTTTTAAATTATAGAAACTCATGCAATGGCTCATTAGAACATAATGGTTAAAATTCTTATTATGACTATGATCTGCACTTAAAAAAGCTAAAGTATGCTCACAAAATCAATTATCTTGAAAGGGGGCTTCAATAATTTATTTATTGTGCTCTGTGACTTAGTCAGAAGTAGTCTTAAATATGCCTGCCTCCCTAAAAAAACAAAACAAAAAGACAACCAATAATGCTGTTTATATATTTTAGAATTAAACTGCCTATTAGACTTTTAAAGCAAATCCAGTAATGCAGCAATGCAGGTTTTCTGAATATCCTCTAACTTATAAGAACATTGCTCAGTTGTTAAGAAAAACAACTTTGTGGTTCCCTAAAACTATAGCTGTGCTATCCTTTCTGCTAGTCTCCGTGTAAGTGTGTACTCGTATCACTTCAAGCCTTGCACAAATTGCAAATGGCTTCCTCAGCTTTCTTCACCACATTTGCTTATTCACCCGCTTTTTCTTCGGCGGTTGTGTCGGGAAGGTGAGCATCATAGAATGCCAATTTAATAGAAGAAAGTATTCTTGCATTGAGAGAGTACTTGAGTGGAGGCCCAATGCCCTCGTGCTAGCTTAATACTAAACCTATAAATATAGGCACATAGATCTAGCTGATGGTGCCCGGCTATCAAAAGATACAGCGTCTGGGGTCTTAAAGGCTTGAAGGTAAACAAGCGGCCATCAAGCTCAGAAGCAACAAAGCCCACATGGAAGAAGCACACCAGCCTGTGTGATCACGAGGTGTAGGAGCTTAAGTGGAGAGGAAATGTTTTGAGAATGATGAGGGCAATGAATGTACAATTCTTTACACAATTGATGCATGTATGAATTGTGATAAGAGTTGTATGAGCCCCTAATAAAATGATTAAAAAAGAAAATTAGACCTCTTTTACATAAAAAAGAAGGAATATTTAAATCATCTGAAGGTTGCTTTAGTTGTAAGATCTTCATAAGTGAGATGTACCCTTCCAACCCAAATCCTTTTTGTGATGTATCATAATTCTACCCTCTGTGCCTGTGTTCATAATCCCATTTTCGAGTGAATTCTCTGCAAACTTCCTGCAGGGGTGTTCATAAATGCCTCTCCACTGTAAGCTTCAACCTGGAGGCATTCAGCTTAAGCTTCACGGGTCAGTGAACTCAGCTTCCCAAATTAAGTGTCCAGAGAAGTCTCACCTTCAGTTAGCCTCAATCTGAGCTTCACCTTCATAAGTCGACTAGCTCTTCCAATAAGTGCTCGGAGGCACCCCACTCCACAAGCCAGCCTCCTGTCCCCAAACACTCCACTTGACGTGCTCGGTGGACTGGGAAGTCTAAGACTGTCTCGTGCTGTGCCTCCTGGTGCTGCAGCTGCTGCTGGTGCTGCTGCTCCTCTACCCCTCCTTAGATGCCAAAGTTGTCTTCTGGATCAAGGAGGCTCACTCCCAAGGTCCAGAGTGCATGCTCCAACTCAGGCTCTTGCTGGTAGTGAAAACCCCCTCACCTGCTCCTCAGAGGGCTCATTTTATACCCAGCAGGACAGCCATCACCATGAATCCTATCAATGCCATCCTCGACCTTCTGATCCAGATTCATGCAAGAAAAAGTAATTTGGTGGGAGTTACAGAGACTAGCCAAAAGCATCATGTTAAACAATTAACTGCCCCTGAAATACTTTATAATAAACTACTAATACGTTAAACGCTGTATGTGAATTTCAAAACTAATGTAACTAGTCAAAGAAACCAAACATGAAATCTATGCTGCTTGACTATGTTTATATAAAGTTCTAGAAATTACAAACTGTAGTGACAGAAAAATGCTCTGTTATTGCTTGGAGTCAGGGATAAAGGGCAGGGAGTGACCACGAAGGAGTCAGGAAGGAACATTTCTGAGATGATGAAAATGTTCTGCAGTATGGCTGTAATTTTTGTTGTGCAATTATACAGACGTGTATCAAACCCCTCAGATTGCCAACAGTGGTTGATTTTATTGTATATGAATTAAGCCTCATTAGTGCTGATTTTGTAAAAGTATGATCATAATCATATAAATGTATGATGATAATCATTATGTATGTTAATATATAAGTACCATACTAATTATCAATATTGATTGTGGTGGTTAATTGGAAAGGATGTCCATGTTCCTCAAACCAAGTCAGATCGATTGAACTACATATATTTCCTCAGAAACATAGATCACATTATGCTGTATGCATTTAATTTTTTATTACTGATATTCTTATCAGAAAACATATGCATATTTTCCCTCTTTATCTTCTTTTTCATTCAACCATGTATTTGTAACCTTTTTGATTTTCCAGTTAGCGATGCAGAGAACTGACCTGCATTATTCACTACTTCGTGCCTTGTGTTCGAGCATTTACTGTTGTGTAACAGATAATTCCAAAATTTAGTGGCTGGAAACAACAAACTTGAATGATGGATTTAAGTTTCTGTGAGTCAGGACTTCAGGAGCAGTTTAATGGAATGGTTCTCTCGGGCTGCAATTCTCAGCCTTCTCTTGGCTCCACTGAGGGAGAGTCTGGGTCTGAGTTCTCTCACTCACTAGTTGCAGACCTCAGACTATCCACTCCCAACCTCCTTTATATACGCATCTCCAGAGGGCTGCCCCACACGCTGCAAACAGACTTCGCTGGAGCAAACGATGCAAGAGTGGGCCTGAGATGGAATTAGCAGGCCTGATGTTACCTAATCTCCATAGTGACATCCCATCACTTCAACTGCATTTGCTCATCTTCAATGAGCGCATTACATGCAGCCCACACTCTCAAGGGGGGAGAATTATACAAAGGCAATCATAACAGGAGCCAGGCAGTACTGAGCCCATCTTGGAGAGGCTGCCTATCACAATAATGTTTTTTTTTTGTTTTTTTTTCATTCCTACCTCTGCTCTTCTCGCATGACTATTTATCTCTACTGGAAGACTGAAAAGTCTGAATTATGATTATTATTTTGGAACTCTATCACCTTGTACATGGGCATAGCTTCAATGAAGATGGGAATTACATTATTCACTTCAAAATCTCTGCCATCTAAATTTTGGTGACACTCAAGAAACACACATTGTACAAACCAATGCAAGAATAGCAAACCTTAATGTTTTTTAATGAATTGTTGAAAGGGGATAGGGGGTGGGGAGGAATCTTCATTCATTCCCACAAAGCCTAAGTGAGCTTCTCAAGAAAATATGAATTCTAAGTTAAATATCACTCACATTTCACTCGGTCAATAGCCAAGCTTTCAAACTCTATCAAAGATATGTTTTCAGATGGCGGCTCGAGGTAAAACTGGAGGCTATGAGGGTAGGTGGCACTTCTCTGGTCACCTAACAATCTCAGCTTCATGCGCCTTTCAGAAAACTGCATCTTGGTTACCTTGGAAAGAAACGCATAGAAAGTTAAAATGCTGGACAATAGAGTGGAAAAGAAAACAACAACAAAATATCATACGAACAGATCAGAGATCTTTAGTTGAAGCGCACACACAAAATGGTCACTCTAGTTATGCCTGGATGGTGCTTTCCTGCATTTTCCTAATACTCGACTATTTTGTCATGGGGTGTATGGGAAATAGGAAGAGAGTTTCACCCTGGTGATCCTACCTTCCGGCAACATATCATGTGCTAGGAAGTGCCTGCTCAGACCTGTAGAAAGCCTCAGCTTTCTCCCGTGGAGTGGCTGGTGGTTTTGAACTGCTGATCTCCAGATTAGTAGCCCAGAGCATAATTCACCACGCCACCAGAGCTCCTTGACATCGCCCTAGATCCTTGCAATACCAATCATAAAATGAGATTTTACATGGGATGCATTCCTGAACTCCTGAGGAAGGGGCGTATATTCTAGATAGAAAAGAGATTGGATGAACCGGGTCCAGTTACTCCCAGTCTTCCTACAGGGAGAAAGAGAACTTTCGAAAAAGAAAAACCTGTTAGGGAGTCCCCACAAGTTCTTTCTGGCTACCACTCTGATCACCAACCACCACGGAGAAGCCATTTCCCCTGAACCGTCCCGGGAGCCCGCGCCTGTGCCCCAAACCAGCAACATCCCAACCCCGACCAGTCTTTTCAGTCCCGCCGCCCGCAAGGTCCTCTCAAGCTCGGAGTCGGGGCTCTCCGTCCCGCAGGCCGCAGCAGCTTCTTACCGGCCACAACACCGAGTGAGAAATACAAGCAGTGACGCTCAGCCCTGGTGGCGGGAGATTTCATAAGGAGCCGGAAGCGGAAGCAGTCGCTCCCTACAAGGCCCGCCCACAAAAGTCCCGCCCGCCCGCCAGCGTCGTCTGCGCACGCGCCCCCTGGTCGGGGGCGTGTCTGGATTCCGCCGCTGTAACCTTCTGTTTGCTGGCTGTCACCCACTCCATAGAGTCTTGTGACCCCCGTGGGTTTCCGAGACGGTTACTCTTGACGGGAGTAGAAAGCGCAATCTTTGTGCGGGAGCTGCTGGTGCTTTGAACTGCCGACCTTGCGGTTCACAGCCCAGCACAGAACCACTACACCACCAAGGCTATAAATTTAAAACGTTTTAAATAGCAGTGAACTAAGGTGTTCCTTGTGGTTTTAGGGGCGTGGGGAGGGCTCCAGGTTTTAAAGAGTATCTCATATTCATGGAGACGCCTTGGTGATGTAGTGGGTTACTCATTGAGCGACTACCTGCGTGGGTCGTAGGTCGAACCCACCATCTGCTCCGAGGGGGGAAAGATGAGGCTTTCTACTCCCAGCAAGAGTTAAAGTCTCAGATTCCTGTGGTGTAGGGTCGGAATCAACTGCGTGGCTGTGAGTTTGGTTTGGGACATCTGTATGGAGTTGGTAGATTTTAACAATTGAAACGAGTGTCAGAATGCTACAAAGCAAAACTTACACAGGCCCAAGGATGAACCAATGTAACTTCTTTGGGAGACACTGGCAACGGTTTACATAAATTGAGAGAAATGTGTTTAACCTGCAAGGATGGCAGGTTAAATTTTCACCCTACCGTATGAGGAGAGGGAAAACGGACATTTATCAAACTACTTTTTAGTATGCAGCTCACCAGGGCTTTGTTTTTCCCATGTAATCTGTCAGCTCTATAAAGTAGTTCATTTTACCCATATTTTGCAGTTGAGAAAACTGAAGCTAAACATTATTAGTTTGCCCATCAATATTCAATACATATTTGTTTTTGTTTCTATTGAACAACAACAGCAAAGCCTCACTACTATAGAGTCAATTCTGACTTATGGCGAGGCTATAGGGCAGCTGTTCTCAACCTGTGGGTCACGACCCATTTGGGGGGTTAGAACGACCCTTTCACAGGGGTTGCACTCTTCATAACAGCAGCAAAATTACAGTTATGAAGAAGCAAGAAAAATAATTTTATGGTTAGAGGCGTCCCCCACCACAACATGAGGAACTGCATTAAAGGAGCACCACATAGGAACGTTGGGAATCACTGGGGCATAGTAGAACTGCCCCTGTGGGGTTGTGAGATCCTAACTTGTTAAGGGAGTAGAAAGCCCTGTCTTTCTCCTCTTATATTGAACAACAAGCAGCAAATGGGCAGATCCAGGTTCAGGACTTTTTATTTTCCCCCAAAAGCCTTGCACATAATAAGCACCCAATGAAGCTGTTGTGGAGTGAGCGAATGCACACCGCAGAAATCATTCCTAGGTCTACAAAATTGGGAGATAGTAGATTTGCGGAAGAGACAGGTTCGAAAACCTGAGAAGCATTAAGGAGAAAATGCATTCTCCCAAAATTTTCCTGATACACTGCCTCAGAAACTGCTCTTCAGACCCACACCCAGCTCCCTTGCTTCCATCTTTGGGGTTTCAAAATCTGAAAATCAACCTCACTGATGGCTCTTTAGGAGGCTTGGTGGCTTAGTGGCTACATGTTGGGCTGCTAACCTCAAGGTCTCCCAGGAGAAAGATGCTGAAACCCATAGGGACAGTTCTACCTTGTCCTATAGGTATGTTGCTATGAGTTGAAGTCAACTTGAATGGCAGTGTTTGGGGGGCTTTTTAATGACCTCTATGAGTCAGACCTCTATTGACCCCATGGCAGTGAATTTAGGTTTTTGTTTTGTCTCACTAGGGCTTTAGAGTTGAGGAGCACTTAGCAAATCTGTAGCATAGTGACATAATATCCAATTGTACAGTGCCTTCTGAGAAGGGATCAAATTAGGTGAGACTGCTCTGCCTAGAACCTGTTCTAAGTTATTTACATATCAGTTCATAATTGTCTGAGGTGTTGTGTTGTTGTTGTCAGGTGCCTCTAGTCGGTTCCTTCTGATAACGACCCTGTGTACAACAGAGCAAAACACTTCTTGGTCCTGTTCCATGTTGGAGTTCATCAGTGCAGCCACTGGGCCAATCCATCGTGTCAGAGGTCTTCCTCTATTTTACTAAATATGATGTCCTTCTCCAAGACTGGTCTTTCCTGCCATCTCTCAAGTATGTGAGACAAGTCTCACCATCCTTGCCTCTAAACATTCTGGCTGGCCTTCTCACAAGACAGACCTGTTTGTTCTTTGGGTAGTTCATGGTACTTTCACTACATTTGCCAGAACCATAATTCAAGTACATCAATCTGTCTTCTGTCTTTATTATTCAATATCCAACTTTTACATACATAGGAAGTGATTGAAAATATCATGGCTTGGGTCAGAAGCACCTTCGTCCTCAAAGTTACATCCTTGTTTTTCAACCACGTTAAGAAGGTCTTGTGAAGCACATGTACCCAAGGCAAAATCATGTGAGGTAGGTTATCTGATTAAAACCATTTTACAGATATTTTTTCAACTGCTAAGAAAACAGAAGAGAGAGGAGTTAAGTAACATTTAAAGGTCACATAGTAAGTGGCAGACCCAGATTCAAAGCCAGAAAGACTACTCCCAAGGTCCCCAATGTCACCCATCTGCCTTTATAATCCCAAGACTACTCCCAAGGTCCCCAATGTCACCCATCTGCCTTTATAAT